AGTCTATTTGCAAGTAAGGCTAAGTGAACAAATCAGAAAGGTTGAGGTGCCTGGAGAATAGCAACAAATGGGAAGTCATTGCTACTGTTAATGAGGCAGGAAGAAGAAACAGTGTCACCAGACTCCATATGAAAACTCAAGCCACAAAAGCAGGGCATCTCAGAAGGAGATTTAGTCATAGAGGGTAATGTTATTATCCCAACACCTTCCAAGACTTCCCACAGATAAAATTCTGAAAATATAAGCTCACAAGCAAAACCTTAGAAACAGGGAACAGGCATCATAAGTGAGAACCAACAAAAACGTCAAGTTATATCAGGCCTATAAAGAAGTCAGACATTTAAATTATCAGAAAAAAATAAGTATGTTTTTTATGCTTAAAGAAATCATTTTTAAAATATGAGCAAGAAGCAATAAACCATTAAAATGATGAATCAAGTTTGAAACAAAGCTATAATCAACCCATTAAAGTGCATTGCCAGAATACAGACATCTAAGGGCAGTTTTGAACAGCACCCAGAAAGATTAACCAGAAAGGTGCTACAATTAGGATGACAACTGATTTTCAACAGTAACAATGAAAGGCAGAAGACAATAGAATGATATCCTCATAGTAATGAGGAAATAATTGCCAATCAAGAATTGGGTGTTGGATTTTGTCCAATGCTTTCTCTGTGTCTATTGTTATGATCACATGATTTTTATTTTTCAGTTTGTTTATGTGATGTATCACGTTTATTGATTTGCATATATTGTACCAGTCTTGCATCCCTGGATCCCACTTGATCATGGTGTATGATCTTTTCACTTTATTACTGTATGCAATTTGCTAGAATTTTGTTGAGGATTTTAGCATCTATATTTATCGGGGATATTGGCCTGTAATTCTCTTTTTTTGTAGAGTCTTTATCGAGTTTTGGAATTAGGATAATGCAGGCCTCATAAAAAGAGTTTGTAAGTGTTTCCTCCTCTTGGATTTTCTGAAATAGTCTGAGGAGTATAGGTCTTAGTTCTTCTTTTAATGTTTGGTAAATCTCCCCTGTGAAGCCGTCTGGACCTTGGTTTTTGTTTGGTGGGAGTTTTTGATTACTGCTTCTATTTCATAGTTGTTATTGGCCTATTCAGGTGTTCCGATTCCTTCTGATTCAGTTTTGGGAGATTATATTTTTCTAGGAATGTCTATTTCATCCACATTGTCGAGCTAGTTGGCATATAGTTGTTCACAGTATTTTCTTAAAATCTTTTGTATTTCTGTGGTGTCAGTGGTTACTTTTCCACTTTTGTTTCTAATTTTATTTATTTGGGTCCTCTCTCTTTGTTTCTTGATGAGTCTGGCTAACAGATTATCAATTTGTTTATCCATTCAAAGAACCAGCACTTGGTTTCATTGAATTTGTATTGTTTTTATAGTCTCTATGTTATTTATTTCTGCTCTAATCTTTATTATTTTCTTCCTTCTACTTACTCTGGGTTTTTCTTGTTGTCCTCTTTGTAGTTCTTTAAATTGTAAGGTTAAGTAGCTTATTGTTAATTTTTCTTGTGTTTCTTTTAGGTATGCCTGTAGTGCTATGAATTTCCCGCCCAGGACTGCTTTTGCTGTGTCCCAGAGATTTTGGGTTGTTGTGTGTTCATTTTCATTTGTTTCCAGGAAGTTTTTTATTTCATTCTTGATCTCATTGGTAACCCATTCATTATTTAATAATGTGCCATTTGGCCTCCATGTGTTTGAATCTTTTTGGATGTTTTTAATGTAGTTGATTTCTAGTTTTATTTCATTTTGGTCTGAGAAGATGCTTGATATAATTTCAATCTTCTTGAACTTGTAGAGACTTCTTTTGTGTCCTAACATGTGGTCTATCTTTGTGAATGATCCATGTGCACTTGAGCAGAATGTATATGCTGTTGTGTTGGGGTAATATGTTCTATAAATGTCAATTAAATCCATCTGATCCAGTGTGTCCTTTAGAGTCTCTGTTTCCTTGTTAAGTTTTTGTCTGGAAGATCTATCCAGTGAAGTCAGAGGGGTGTTAAAGTCACCTACTATGACTGTATTGTTGTCAATCTCTCTGTTAAAGTCCTCTATAAGTTTTTTATATATTTAGGTGCTCCCATATTGGGTGCATATATGTTTACTAGGGTTATATCCTCTTGCTGGATCGATCCCTATAGTTTTATGTAGTGACCTTTGTTGTCTCCTGTGATGGTCTTCATTTTAAAATCTATTTTGTCGGCAATGAGTATTGTTACTCCAGCTTTTTTTCTTTCCCATATGCATGGAAAATGATCCCTTCACTCTCATCCTCGGTGTGTCGTTTGTTTTGAGGTGGTTCTCTTATAGGCAACATATAGTTGACCCATGTTTTTGCACCCATTAAGCTACCCTAGGCCTTTTGATTGGAGCATTAAATCCATTTACATTTAGGGTTATTATTGATAGGTATTTATTTATAGCCATTTTAATTTTGTGTGGTTAGGTTTCTCTCTGTGTTTCTTCTCATTATAGCACTCCCTTTAGCATTTCTTATAATGCTGGCTTGGTGGTGATGTGCTCCATTAGCCTTTTTTTGTCTAAGTAGGTCTTTATTTGACCATCTATTTTGAAAGATAGCCTTGCTGGATATAGTAATCTTGGTCTCAGATGCTTGCTTTCCATTACCTCGAGTACTTCATGCCATTCCCTTCTGGCCTATAGAGTTTCTGAAGAGAAATCAGGTGTCAGCCTTAAGGGAACTCTTTTGTAGGTAACAGTTTTCTCTTGCTGCATTTAAGATTCTCTCTTTGTGTTTAATTTTTGGCATTTTAATTATGATGTCTCTGGGCATGGGCCTGTTTGGGTTCTTCTTGTTGTGGGTACTCTGTTCCTCCTGAACTTGTGTGACTTTTTCCTTTACCAGGTAAGGGAAGTTTTCTACCATTATTTCTTCAAACACCTTCTCTATGCCTTTCCCCATTTCTGTCTCTTCTGACACACCTGTTATTCTAATATTGTTACATTTCATATTGTGCCACAGCTCCCTGAAGCTCTTCTCCTATTTTTTAAATTTATTTTTCTTTTTTGGTTCTTTGGTTGAGTGATATTTTCAACTCTGTCTTCTAAATCACTGATTTGATCCTCAGCTTCTCCTAATCTGCTGTGTATTCCTTCCAATGTGTTCTTTACTTGTGTTATGTCATTCTTAATTTCAGACTGTTCTTTTTTCATAGCTACTATATCTTTTTTCATGTTGTTGAGCATCGTTATCATCATTACTCTGAACTTCGTTTCAGATAAATTTCTTATCTCTGCTTCATTTACTCCTTCTGGAGAATTCTCTAGTTCTTTCATTTGGTCGTTTTTTCTTTGTATCCTCATTTAGGCTGTCTGTTTGGGTTTGTGGCTATGTATTAGCTAGATCTTTTACATCTCTCAATCTCTAGTGTAGGACAATGTTAAAGGCTGTTTCTAACTAATTAGATTAGGCAAAGACTCAAAACTTCCAGAGTCCAACTAATAAGATTCCAACTTGAATTGCCCCTTAGGCAATCATCCTCAGATGTGGCAAGAGTTTCTTCAACAGGGTGGGGTACTTGCTTCTGTATGGATGATGATTGTTATTTTTTTAATCTTTTTTTTAAATTAAATCTTTATTGT